AGCGTGGTGGCCTCCTCGAGACAATCCAAAACGTCACGGGGAGGATCTTGAGCAGCAAACGAGCTGGCTTGAAAGCGGGTCTGTCGACGAGATAAGATAATCGCCGCGACACGCCATCACAAAACAACGTACTCGAACAAAGAAGATATCCTTGCCAACGCTGAGGATGCCCTCTGAACCACCTAGACCCAGCTTGTTCATCGCCGCGAGAGAAGGCTTGGCCTTCTTCCACGACGCGACGAGTGATGCGAAGTCTTGGGGGAGAGGAAATGCGGACATAGCGAGGCCTGGATAGAGAGAAAGAATGGGAACGAAATAAGGACTGAGAATGGGACTGGACATAATCTGTCTAGCCCACCCAGACTTTATATCGTCGACTCTGGAAAAAGTTTTCTAGTCGCGCATCAGATAAGCCGAGGACGGCTTAGATCTGTGTTCCTGGGAGAGGGCAGATCTTACGAAAGATCAGCCACAGAGTCCGCAGAAGTCCACACATTGGAAATTGAGGCGCGCGACAACGTGCACACCCCTTGGACCCATGTGCTGGAAAGTGGAAAATCCAATGACGCTACTGAGGACGGGGTCCGGGACTTTTTCAAAATGTTTCAAGAAAATTCTCCCAAGAATTTTGAAAATTTCGACTCAAAGGTTCACGCGACGACGACTCAGGCAGCAGCAATGATAGATTTGGATTGTACGACGACATGTATGCAAGATAATAAATAAAAATTCGGGCCCGCGACGTTCACGGACGGTGGAACAAGCTGGTCTACTGCTCATCCACCTCCATGGCAGTCTCACCCGCGGCGACGGAGCCCTCGTCGTCGACGTTCTCGTCGTCGACTTTCCCGTCGTCGGCGTTCTCGTTGCCGGCAGACCCGTCTTCTTCTTCACCCTCCGCGTCTTCATCCGAAGCGGCCTTGGTGGACTCGGCCGAGGTCTCGCTGTAGTTGTCGGAAAAGTCCAAGACCTGTAAGACGGCTTGGGACGACGACGCAACAGGAGGCGGCGATGGCGAAGGCTGGGGCGACGAAGAGGGCGCACGGGTGCGACTACTCGCCAAGTGGGCGACGTCGATCTCGTGGTCCTCGCCAGGTTGGAACGCTTGATCCTGGACGGTCGCGGGGTCCGACTTGTCGAATTCCTGGGCCTTCTCGATCTCCCTCTGGAACTGCTTCTCCATCTTTTCCATCTCGCGATAGAAAAAGGGATCGAAGAAGGCAGGGGGTGCCGCGAACCGCTCGTTCGCCTCGCCATCCAACAAGTCCCCGTGGGTCAAGATCATCCGAACACCCTTACAGATGTCGGCCATCTCGGCGGCGTCGATCTCGGTCGCGGTGTGGACGAACATCGCCTTGATGCGTTCGTCCGAGCCGTCGTCGAAATGCTCCTTCAGCTGACCAACGAAATCGCGGAACTGGCCAATGGCCAGGACGCGGATCTCGTTAGCCGTGCGAAGAAGCCCGCCGTACGCGTCCAAAGTGTCGGCAAGACAGTTGGCGGACTTGTTGAGATCTGAAAACGTCGTCAGAAACGATCAAAAAAATAGAAATGAACGAATAGAGTGGACTCTTACCGTCCGCGCTCATCTGCGCGATGTACCCGAAGCGTTGCCCCATATACAGCTGCTCCGCGGGCTTGTAGCCGTTGGTGCAAGTCTGTTTATAGAGCACGCACGGGGCGCACCGATTGCCGTGGCGCCCGTCGACGCTCTTGAAGCAGACGCGCTGCCACGTCACGCACATCGCGCAGGGCCTTGGCGCGACCTCCTATGAAAAGGGAATCAGTCGTCGAGGCATGGCAGAAAGAGATAAAGGAACGCACAAAGTCAGTTGGCACCTCAACGCCGGCCCTTTCCAACTTCCCAGCGAACCCTTGGCGTGCCACCGAAAGGAGCGCCTCGGTGTCGTAGGCGGCGGGAGTGAACGGAGCTCGGGGCGTGGGAGCCGACGCCTTTGCAGGAGTCTAGAAACAGTCAAGTCAGTAAAAAGTCGACGACAAGAAAAAGTCGCGACTCACTGAGTCAGATTTCTTCTTGGCCGCCGCAACGGACTTTTCTGCCTTCTGAGCCTTGAGCTCGGCCTTGGCCGCCGCAACACTCCGCTCGCGACCAAGGGTCGCGGCCACCCTGCCCAACTCACTGCGTGGAGTCTTGGTAGCAGCGGGAGCCGCCTGGGCAACCTAGAAAAGAAAGAAAAACGAATTAGTCGACGTCTGGGACCCAAGGTTTGTGTCTCACCTTAGCCACTGGGGTCGGGGTAGTCGTCGCTCGCGGGGCGCTCGCCTTGCGACTGGCCTCCACCTTCGGCACCGGTTGGGGAGGCACGGACTTGGTCGACTTGGACGATCCGTCCGCGACCTTCTTGATTGGCTAAAAAGCTGGATTAAGGGGCGTGGTCTGGGAAAAAGGAGTTGGCTTGCCATGGGCTTGACGCGGGTCTCGTTGACCTGCTTCTTGGCCACGACGAAATCGCCGGTCTCCTCCCCACTTTCGGAAGTGTCGTCCATGACAATGACGGACGGGGCTACGAAAGTATGAGTAATTGACAGAGGGGGACAAGAGGAAAAACGTACTCAGATTCGATCGCGCTTTCCCCTTGGACTTGGGCCCCTGTCAAAACAAACCAACCATGAGACGAAGGAACCGCGATCGACGAACTGGGTCACTTACCTGAAGGGCCAGCTCGTCGGCCGAGGACGCGTCTCCCTCCTGGACCCCTTCGTCGTCGACATCCATCGCAGTGTCGGCGACGGCGGCGGCTTCCTCATCGCTGAGGGACTCGGGCTGCACAGGCTGTGCTTGGATCTGGGCTGGGAGGGACCAAGTGGTTAGTCTAAAGATCAATGAAATAAGACATAGGATCACACACCTGCGTGCGTCTTCTTGTGGACGCGCTTGGGAGGTGACCCCTGTGGAACAGGGACCGAGGTAGCGGCTACGACAAGTCAGTACCCGCGACCTTGGTGAATGAAAGGAAAGAGCCACTTACGAGTAGGCGCGTGGGACGACGCTGACGCGCCTACGGCGCTCCTGGGCTCAGAACAAGATGGGAGGGACGGCGTAGATACCGTCGATGAGCTGCTGATCACCCGGGACGGTGGCCGTAGAGATAGCGGTGAATTCGAGGGGTTTTGGTCGGGCTGGGTCAGACTCGATGTGTAAAATCGCAGAGGAATAGCGGCGGTCTTGGGATGAAAATAATCGACGACGGGGGTGAAACGACGACGTAGGGGTGAATAGAAGACAAATCTTGGGGTGAAGGCTCCTGAAGACTCTGTGAGAAGTGGGGTAAAATCAACCTGCATTTTATGGACTGTTACATGTGTATTTATACTGTAGGTAGATGAATAGAGTCCGATTTCGGTTAGATAGAAGGAATAAAAGGAACATAAGACCTGTAATACAACGGAATGTGAAACTGGAGAAACTGTATGCTGAGGGAAATCCTGGACCGATCTCGTCCCTCTGGAACTGCCTGGGCCCTTCCAGGAATTCAGTCCTAGTCTGGGGACCATTTCTGTGGCGGTCTTGCATCGTAGCGCCACGTTTGACGAGTGTTTGAAACCGGGATTGTGGATCGTTATGAGAGACCGAATATTGAGTATTGATGGGTGATGGGAGCATCGGCACGTGGAATGACGTGGTAAGCTGCATGAAGCACAGCTTATGATGGATGATGGGAGCATCGCCACTGATGCTGAACGGCACGTGGAATGACGTGGTAAGCTGCATGAAGCACAGCTTGTGATGGATGATGGGAGCATCGCCACTGATGCTGAACGGCACGTGGAATGACGTGGTAAGCTGCATGAAGCACAGCTTGTGATGTGACCTCTGTTATATCAATCAGCGCCGGTCTGGTTACACAGTCAAAGCGACCCCGAGCTCGTCATCTCCCTCCAACTTAAATCCTGACAGTCCCCTGTCAGTCCGTCGACGCCGTGTGAATATGAGGGGTTATTGCGGTGGTAAGTGACAGCTGGCTTGGGTGATGGCGCCGTCGGGCAAGGACTTTTCCCTCGGGGTCCCGTTTCGATGGCCAAGGCTTCTTCGCTCTTCTCTCCCGTTTCTTCTTCGTCTGATTCGTCCTCCGGGTCCTCCAGGATCGACTCCTCCATCTCTCTGAGCCGTTCCATCGATATATCGAGCAGGTCTTCAAGGGGGGAAGCTCGATTGTCTTCCTTGCGAAGTATGGGATCACACGGAACGCTGCGATGGGTCGGTGAAAAACAGCGCCATCTAGCTCACAGAGGATGTAGGCGCCTCCTCTGTTCCTCGCAATGACGATTAATGGCCCCAGGTACCGTTTACGCATCTTGCGACTGAGTGACTTTTCGATTGCTGTGTTCCTCATCAAGACTAAATCCCCTCGCTGGAAATCATAGTCGCGGATGGTGTATGCGTGGTCTCGTTCGAACCGGATCGCCGCTTGTACTCTGGCCTCGAAGACCTCGGAATGGAGTAGGGCCAGCTGGTCTCGTCGTTTCTGCAGTGCGATGGCCCGCTGCGCAATGAGCTCGGTGGTGGAGAGGACTTTTTCGGGAGGGGGAAGCAGATAAGTGGCCTCCGAGATGTCGAGTGGTAGTAACGGGTGTGCGCCAGTGACCGCGAAGAACGGGGAACATCCCATGCGCCGCCGGACTGTGACACGGTCGGCCCAAAAGACGGAGTGCGCTACGGTGTGCCATTTCGACTGGTTTCCGCTTGCTGCCTTATACAAGGCTTCTCGTACATCGAAGTGCGGCCGCTCGGACAGGTTTGCTTGCGAGTTGTATCCCGATATCCGGATGTGTCGTATCTTGTATTGTTTTTCCAGGTGTGTAAGTGCTTTCACGAACGGGGTACCGTTATCTGTGACGATTTCTAGCAGGGTCCCCCATCTACACAAGATGTCTTGGAAGATCCAGTTCGCCAGGGCCGACGCGTTTTCTCGACGGAGCATCCTCCACTCTGGGTAGTGCGTCAGCAAACATCGACCCTGGACAATGTACTTGAAACCGCCGCTCGTGGGGAGGTGCATCGTGTCCATATACATCTTGGCGAAGATGGGCGCTGGTACCGCAACCGTCGGAGGTATGTGTATCTTCCGTACTTGCCGCTGCTGACACAGATCGCAGGTCCGGACAAACCACGCAATATCGTCAGCCATGTGAGGCCACCAGAACCGTTCGGTGAGTAGGGCTCGCGTCGCATAGAAACCTTTGTGACCAACATCGTCGTGTGCCAATTCCAGGACAGACCATCGCCGTTCTGGCTGCACCACCACCTTGTGACGCCCATGTGAGTCTTTTCTCCATAACACAGTGCCACGCCGAAAGAACTCCATGCAGTATCGGACAAACGATTGGTATTCCATTTCCGACATATCGCGGGGTTGCTCCAATGTGTCGTGCCAAATCCTGACTTGGTCCACCCGGTAGTCTGCTCGTAACGCTGTCGCCGATCTTGGTATCTCAGGCGACGCTTCACTTGCTTCTTCTTCGTCCAAGGTTCCAGCCATGAATACGGAGGAAGTCCACGGCCCGTAGCAAGTAACGTATGGTGAGTGATTGATCATATGCGTGAATCCGTGCACCTGATCTATCCAATCTTCAAAGTCGTCGTTCTCTTCTGCTTTGTCTTCGGGCTGTCTTGGTCGTCGAGATAATCCATCCGGTCGATGGCTTACTCCTCGCACATGTACAAGGTCGAAGTGAAAGGTGAGTATCGCTAGAATCCATCTGTTCATCGCTGCTGTTGGTGCCAGGTCGGGGTTTGATAGCATCCCCTTGATCGAACTTGCATCGACTTCCACCACGAGGTTGCGCAGTCCTATCAGATGGATCTTCCAGGCACGAAGGGTGCGAAAGAGCCCGTAAAGCTCCAGTTTTGGTTGTGAGAACCGCGCTTCCCGTTCGTTCAAGGTGATTGACCCGAATCTTGCGTAGAATCGTCTCGTCAATTTGCCCGGATCGCACTGGGCTAGAGTGGCCCCTACTGCGATGTAAGATGTATCCACGGAAAGGATGACGGGTGATGTGGACGTATAGTCAAGTGGGCGAAGCGCCGGTGAGCTCAGTAGTGCCTGTTTCAAGTCTTCTTGGGCGCTGACTTGCTCTGGTCCGAAGGTGAACGGGACACCTTTCCGTGTGAGACCGATCAGGGGACTGGCGCATTGGGCAAAGTTTCGGATGAACATGCGCACTACGCCGATGGTTCCTAGAAAGGCGCGTACTTCCGACAGGTTCTGACATAGACCCCAGTTAACGATCTTTTCCACGCGCTTCTCGTCAGGGATTCGTCCTTCATATGTGCACATGTGACCAAGGACGGGGAATCTTGATGCGCAGAGTATGGCCTTGGGTCCTGAAAAGGTGCCGCCGCAGTACTTCATCCTTTGTACAATGCGATTGAGCGTCTGAAAATGTTCCCAGACAAACCGGCGGATCCCATCGTTCTTCGGAATGGTCTCATACCCTCCTCCGGCCAGCTCGTAACGCGTCTTCGGTCCTCGGACTGGCGCATCGTCAATGTACGGTATCGTGAACTGGGGAATCTCGGGCTGCAAGATGAAGGTGACGTCGTCGTGAAAGATTGGTACCGAGTTTGACCAGCCCATTGGCAGGGTAACCAGTCGAAGGGCGCCAAATGGGGACTGAAAGGTGGTGTAATCCCGGGAGGCCTCGGCGAGAACTCTCTCATCATACCCCACGTAGAGGTCTAACATTCCTCCACAGGATTGTCCGGCGAAATGCTCTGCTACTTGCTCGGTGAAAGGTGGCACTCCCGAGTGCTGGATCGTGACCGCGTTTAGTGGTTCCAGGCTGTGCACCAAACGTAGGCTCGTTCCGTCTTTCTTCACCACGCAAAACCATCGAGAACGGTATGCTGAATTTGACGGTTCGTAGACACCTGCTGCAAGCTTACGACGTATAAGCTCGCAAACTTCGTCACGAATTCCCGGTGGAATAGGGATGTTTCGTTGAACCCATGGTACGTGTGGGATTACGGGGATGGTGACCGGTTTGAAGAAGTCGGTTCTAAACTTCCCTCTTTCTAGGTCAGTCCATGCGAAGCCGTCCTCGTGAAGCATCATGAAGTGGTGCATGAGCTGCCGTTCTTCTGGCCATAGGAAATCTTCCTCGTGAAGCTTGTCGATTATGTCGCGTCTTTCGGTGGTGTATCGTCCAGATGGGGTAAAAGGCGGGGGATTCGGATCAAGACGTGGTAGTGTAGCCAATGGGTCCCCGTGGATCTCGCGTATAAGCCGGAATTCCTCGGGTAAGGTACCGAGAACTGGTCGTATTTTTTGTGAAACCGGTTTGTATAGTTTCTTGGCGAGGACGTCAACACGCGGAGAATAAGGGTTTGAGAGAGATGTCGATTGGACGTAGACTGGTATTGTAGAATTGTATCGAGGGGAAAAAGGGTAGTTTTCAAAACCAAAGGGGCGAGTTGAATCGCCCCTATCTTGCGCGACAAACGCCGGTTGAACGACTGCATGTGCGAACTGGACTGTATCAGAATACGAGCCCAGGTTTGTGCAACCTGTCAAATAGAAATATTGGAGTTCAGCGCTTGAATAGGACGAGGGGAGCGAGGCATAGGAATAAATAGAGAATTTGTTACGGTCATTTGGCTCTGACTCGATGAGCAATGCAACCTCTCCTTGATCAGAAATCAATTCCTCGAGGGTTGAAAACCCTGCGCTCTTGGACGCGATCCCCGAGCTACAGTGGGGACTGTGGCAATTTTGCCCGAATTGGGATCACGGATTGTGATCGTCTGATTCTCGTTTGCGAAGTTATGGATTATGCTCTCTGTGAGAACATCAAAGGGTCTTCCCAGAAGCACGTCGTATGGTGGGTTCCGGACGACGTGGACCTGTAGGTACAAGGTTATGTCGTCGAAAGCGAAGGGAACGTTTCGGGCTAGACCCAAGGACGGTGTCACTGATCCATTTGCTGATTGCATCTGCAGAACGATGGTGGGATCATAGGAGAGACCAATTTCGTGACAAATCGCTTCCGACATAGCGATGATTTGAGAGCCTCCATCAACGATGCACTCCACCCGGAGACGGCTGTCTATCACAGGGAGGACGGAACGGATGGCTGATGATTCCATGGAGACCAATAAATCATTTCCGTGAGCGCCGCTGTTGATCAGGGTTTCGAAATGATCGGGGATAACAGTGGCGTTGGCCGGTAACGTCGCCTGACCAAAGGATGCGGGCATCGAATCAAAAAACGCTTCCCGCCGTCTATCTCCATCTCGCTGCTCTTCTATCGTCTCGATATACGCCTCCTGGGGTGCCAGGTCAAATGAAAACTGTTCTGTGGGCTTGCTGGCGGCTACTGGCGACTTTTCGGTCCCTGGGACGACTCGGCGGCTACTGGTGACGTCCCTGGTCATGGTGCGGAGCTCTGGGGATAGCGAAAGGAGTTCCCGCTCGCTGACTTCGATTTTCGACTCCAAGAGACGTCCAAACACGGTGTTGGCGATTTTATCGTCGAAAATGGGTGCTGTGGTTCTATAGGCGCCCTCGGTCTTCTTTGGTGGAGCAGGGATGCGTGCCCCCACGTTCCGGTCGCGTGGTGGGGCGTACCCCGCGTCTCTGGCTTTCGAAAATGGGTGTTCCGCTGTGGGATGCACTGGTGGGTCCTTCTGGCGCGTTGCTGTAGGTCCCGGTGCGTTTTTATCGATTCCCGGGGCGCTCGTTGCTGACGAATTCGGGCGGACGGTCTGTTCGGGCTCCTCGACTGGTTCGGACGAACGCCCCGCACCTAGGGCTGCGCGTGCTTGTGCCCTGGTACGTACGGCCATCATTTCGCGTTCGAGGTACTGAAGGCGTTCTGTATCTGATAGCGTGAAGCTCGACGCGATTTTCGGTCCGGAATTGGAGCTGAGGAAATGCGTGGAGATTTCAGCTGTATTCTGCGACGCCGCCATTTGTCCTGGGTTCTGGCGATGCCATTCTTCGATCCGTGCACGCAGATTGGTGCCCATGACACGCCGGGGAACGTACGAGCCGCTGGGCAGGACCACCTGGCCCTCGACGTTCCGTTTGCACTTTCCAGCCTGTGTATCTTCGTCAACACGCGGGCACCGGATGATGAAATGCCCTGATTTGCCGCAATAGCTGCAGTTCAGGTCTCGTGGCGTATTCTGGATTGAGGATGGCGCTCCCGTGCTCACTGGCCGGTTCTGCTGGGCGGCGACTGCTTGCGCCGTGACTGCTGCTTGTGCGGCAAGTACCTTCATTAGCCCGTTCATTGACTCGATTAACTGGGCTATATTTGAATCAGGTTCTTGTTTGACTGCCACGGGTTTCGGCGATGCCGTGTTTGAGATGGCTGATCCATGCGAGGAGTCTGCGAGGACGAACTCCATGGCTTCGTTCATGTCTGTGAGGTCGTAGGGGTCGTCTGGGTGCACGTCGGGCTTCTTGATTTGTAGTCGCTGGTGGACTCGGCTCCAAAGGCTCGGCGGCGAGATTGCTCGACGAAAGGCTCGAGATTGTTCTGCGGTGGATAGTCGGGCCTTGTCCACGAGGAATTTGGTAATGACCAAAAACTTCCGATAGAATTCGCTGTAGTCGGAACGAGACAAGATCCCGACACTTGCGTATTCCCCAATAAGGGTGTGTAGATCTGAAAGCGTGTATCGGCGATCGGCATCCGTGCCTGGGTAAAGTTTCAAGACGTCAGCTTTGAACAATGCGTAGGAGTGGGGCGCAAGGAAAGAGTCCAGCGACTCCCAAATCTCCTGGTCGTCCACTGAAAGGTAGCGCGTCGCGTGAGTCTTCTTTTCTTGTTCTGCCGTGACGCCTGCCAGAGAGAAATGAAACTCCAGGTCGGTGAAGAAACGCAGCAGCTGTCGTGGCTGCTTAGCGTCGAACTCGGGGGCGCCTCGGGCGCCCCGTGCTGGCATATTGGTGTTGGTAGCCATTGGTGCGTTTATCAGAGGCGGTGTGACGGGTCGGAGACGAAACGGATCAGGGCTCGATGAGGTCGACGGTGTAGACTGAGGCGAATGGGATGATCTCGAAGAGAACGATGGCGTGATGCGAAATCGGGCAAGCGTCGGTGAATCTGGATCAACTAGATCCAGGTGGTGATGATGCGAAAGGTGATGAGGTACCGGGACCAGTAGATCGTCTGAAGACGAATCGCTGTGTCTCGAGGTGTCGGTGAGATCGAGAGGATTCTGTGCGAGGGCACGGAACTCGAGTCGAAGATTCCGGCGAGCGTTAGGTCGAAGTCTGCGAGGTGAGTCTGATGCAATGATGGACAGAAAAACCCCCTCGTGGTGGGCTCCAAAATGACGCGCCTACGGCGCTCCTGGGCTCAGAACAAGATGGGAGGGACGGCGTAGATACCGTCGATGAGCTGCTGATCACCCGGGACGGTGGCCGTAGAGATAGCGGTGAATTCGAGGGGTTTTGGTCGGGCTGGGTCAGACTCGATGTGTAAAATCGCAGAGGAATAGCGGCGGTCTTGGGATGAAAATAATCGACGACGGGGGTGAAACGACGACGTAGGGGTGAATAGAAGACAAATCTTGGGGTGAAGGCTCCTGAAGACTCTGTGAGAAGTGGGGTAAAATCAACCTGCATTTTATGGACTGTTACATGTGTATTTATACTGTAGGTAGATGAATAGAGTCCGATTTCGGTTAGATAGAAGGAATAAAAGGAACATAAGACCTGTAATACAACGGAATGTGAAACTGGAGAAACTGTATGCTGAGGGAAATCCTGGACCGATCTCGTCCCTCTGGAACTGCCTGGGCCCTTCCAGGAATTCAGTCCTAGTCTGGGGACCATTTCTGTGGCGGTCTTGCATCGTAGCGCCACGTTTGACGAGTGTTTGAAACCGGGATTGTGGATCGTTATGAGAGACCGAATATTGAGTATTGATGGGTGATGGGAGCATCGGCACGTGGAATGACGTGGTAAGCTGCATGAAGCACAGCTTATGATGGATGATGGGAGCATCGCCACTGATGCTGAACGGCACGTGGAATGACGTGGTAAGCTGCATGAAGCACAGCTTGTGATGGATGATGGGAGCATCGCCACTGATGCTGAACGGCACGTGGAATGACGTGGTAAGCTGCATGAAGCACAGCTTGTGATGTGACCTCTGTTATATCAATCAGCGCCGGTCTGGTTACACAGTCAAAGCGACCCCGAGCTCGTCAACGCCTTGGGCTCCTTTGCAGGAGTCGCCTTGGGTCGCTTCCCCTGCGACTTCTCGCTCGACTTCTTGGCGACGGCGACCTTGCTGCCCGCGACGGCGGCAGGGGCCTGCGGCTTGGAGCCGTCACCCTTCCCCTTCTGCTTGACAGGCCGGGACGACAAAGGGGCGGCGACTTGTTCGGTTGGAGCCGCCTGGGGGTCGATCAGAACATAGTAAACGAATGAAACAGAGTACGCGTACGGGTTCGACGACTCGTTTGCGTTTCTTCGGTGGCGACGACTCCTCGACTGGAGCGTTGGTGGTCGAAAGCGCAGGCGCCGGCTAGCCCTTACGTTAGTGAAAAGAATGGAAGGCCAAAGCGAACAGGCGCGGCAATCATTGATCGCCGTGACTGCTCGCTCCAGCGGGCTTAGAACGGAGCTCACCTGCTGAATCTGGCGGACGTCGACGGCCATCTGCCGCAACATCTGGTTGTAGGCCTCGGGGCTAGGCAGGTGGTGAGTTGGATCGACAAGCCATGGGAGAGACCTTGACGGACGGCATGAACTGCCGCCAGTCGATGGCAGGCAGGTTTGCTCCCGGGGCAGCTGATTCGGTGACGGCTGATGGATGGTTAGCGTGGTTGAAAAGTCGCGGTAACCGTCTTGGGCGTCACTCACGGTTGGTGTCTTGGGGGCGGGGGCTCTGGTCGGGCGCGGACATGGTGGTCGAAAGGCAAGAGTGTCTTGTACTAGGGAGACTCTCGACCCTGAAAATTGAGGGCATTTATATGGTGAACATGCCGGAAGAAGTTTGATCGCGGCAAATCACGGAAGGAACCGAACAACCAAATGAATAAGACGTGGGAACATAACTCTATGTCTCCGCGGCTTTAATAATAAATGAATGAGACGTCGACTGTTGGACTTAGACCTGACGCAGTGAGACTGTCGCGGGATTGACCAGGAGGTCAAAATTAGTGTTCCTGGGAGATGATAGGCTGGCTACCAGACGCGCTCTGCACCAGCTCTGTAAGGGCGTATTTTTGCGCTTTTTACAGAGTTTACTCTTGAATCACTCGGTGTATCGTGTCGCGGTTGACAGTGTTGCGCTCAGTAGGACTTATGGGTCTACTGCCCAGTCGACGACTGTGGATAGTGTCGACGATAGCAAGGCAGTCAGATCACTACTGTAGAATTGGTCTTATGAGTCTACACCAGGCTCAGGGCCATTAGTGACGAACGCTTGGACCGTGACCATTCCCCAAAAAGGGATCTGTCGTTGCGTCGACTTCTCGAAAAGGGTCATTCTCTGCAGATGGGAACTTGGGCTGAAGGGCTGAGCAATGCGCGACGTTCTCAATAATAGAACTACTACTGGACAGGACTTGGCGTTACGAGACTTAAACCATCTTGTCGCGGCAACTCCCGGTTCTGAGTTGGACGTTTCCTCAGATCATGCCACGACGACGACTTGTCACATGTCAGGATCCATTCGATCACGGGACATTGAGGACGCGTCGCGGTGACACTCCCAAGTGCCACGGCGATTCGCGTCAACACCCAAACACACTAGAAATCGACACGGCTAGATCCGTGAGCCGAACCATGTGGGGGACGACTGGCGTGCCTAGGGCCATACGGCTTCTTGGGGGGCCCACGTTGGTCTCACATGCCAAGACATACCCGTTGGCCAATCCAGCACGTCGTATTCCAAAAGTATGACGCGGTGAGTTGGCCCACATCAAAAGTATCATATGGACAATGGGGCGGGGTCCTGATCACTCAGGACCTGTCCGATCGTTCAACTTTCAATTACCCTAAAAGGCAACCGATCTTAGATAGCGTAGCTACTATGCAGTTGTACAGGACTTTACTAAGCATCGTCGTAGACAGTATAAGTAGCACGACGTTTCTTTGTATTAGGAAGCTTTTCCCCGGACTGTGAATCACTATCATTTCAGATTGTTTTGTACAATTTGCGTGCCGCGTGATTCCACCCTAAGAAGTTCTGCCATCCCTGCCCAGTCGCGACGAGTTGCTCCCTGAGCACTTGTAGCTACTGTGATTTGAGTTTGAGTTGAGACATCAGAAAGTCGGATTCGCCGCATCTGGTATTGTCGCGGCATTTAGTGTCGTCGCCTTAGGGCTTTGTTGAGATCGTTCCACACCTCTAGCTTGGCAGTGCGTCGACTTGAGAACTTTGGTTCCACACTTCTTGCTTGGCAGTGCGTCGACAAGTTGTGCTCGGGTTTTGGACATTGGATATTGGCTGTTAGTTGGCAGTGCGTCGACGCGGCATTTTGGTTTACTAGTTGGCAGTGCGTTGACTCAGTACTTTTGGTTGTGTCAGTTGGCAGTGCGTCGACTTGACATTCTGGTTCTACTAGTTGGCAGTGCGTCGACTCAGTATATTGGTTGTATCAGTTGGCAGTGCGTCGACTTGATATTTGGGCTTTGCGTCACCATCTGGACGCTGTCGCTACAAGGGATCTTAATACTTCGTATTAAGTTCTGACTTGTTATATTGTTGTTGTGGATTGGATTAGTGTTGATTGTGTTCGTATAGAAGATATTGGTTGAGACACCACTGTTTGCTATATATATATATCCTTGTCGTCGACTCCGTCTCCGCGACTATTGGATCTGCATCTATTGAGAGTTGTGATACTGGTGTTCTGTCCACCCCGAAGCCCTCGCATCTTTCACACACTGAGAAGCTGATTACGAGGAGTGTGAACGTGTTTATATTTGGGTTTACTTTCATAGTAGATTCACTTGTGAGCACGCCCTCAGCATTTCAACGTATCATCTTCCAACGCATACGCGAGTCAAGCCTCTAGCTGTCGCCATCGAAGACTAGGCTTTGTATGACGGAAGCTGTCTTTGCCGGATCGACAGTGGGACCACAAGGCGTCTGGCCGGACCTCCGCAAATTGACCACAATCATCCAATGGCGCCAGCCAGAGACCGCGGCCGACCTGCACTCATTCTTGGGGTTAACGGGCTACTTTCGAGATTTGATTCGAGGATACTCGGCCGAAGAAAAGCCATTATGCGACCTGCTTTCGAGCCTAGTTCCTTCGGGCG